ACAGGTAAATTGAGACCGAACCTCGTCATTCTCCAGCCTCAGCGACAGTTGATCTGAGTGCGTTGTGTGGCAGCCACATGGGCTTCTTTCGTCATCAAGCGCAACATGAGGTTCGGCCGACGTGGCGTGGTGTCCAGTCATCCCTGAACGGCTGAATGGATCGCTTCAGTTTTACGCTAGGTGACACGTTGTGCCTGACTCAACAAGACATTTGCTGTACACCAGTTCCAGTGCACATCATTCTGCTGTCACTCGTCGAACTTTTCCTCGTTTCTGTCTGTTCTTCATTGACCGTTCTGACTTATTACGATATTGCTGCGATCGTCGGTTGGCATTTTCTCATTGCCCTGCTAACGTTGATCCCAATCGATGTAGTGCGGTGTTGTTTTCCTCGTTGTATTGTCTATTAGCATTAGCGTGATGCAACGGCTACCACATCGGTTGCCAAACTGGGCATTGAGAGCATCAAAACAGTGCCGTCATTCTAACCAAAAGTACCACTGACGATAATCAGCCTCTTGTTAACTGCTGCTGGATGAAGGTCTTTCAGACACTACCATAAATTGCCTTTCTGTGACTTGTCTATCCACCTTGATCCAAAAAACTATTTTCAGTTTCTTCTACCATCGATCTAAAGGACTTTCTACAGATGGACTAGTCTTTCTTGGAATCCAGTGTAATATGTCTCTGGTTCAGTGATGGCCGGTTCTCCTGGTAACATGTTCTGTCCACTGCTGCTATAAATTCTTCACTCGATCAGTGACATCGCAGACTCATATTTGTGCTCTTATGCATTTATACCTCTTCCTGTCTTTGCTTGTTATTCCCAACATGTATCTTTCCATACGGTGTTGCGTAATCTGACGTTTGTGAATAGCTTTCAGGCTTGAGATCCATGTTTCGCACTCTTAGGTTAGCGCTGGGAGTACAAATTGATCGAAAACATTCTGTTTCTATCACAAACGCAGTTTTCTAAACAGAAACATTTTCAGTCTTCCAGAAGTGCCCCGTGCCAGTATTTATTCTTCTGTTGATTTCACGAAGTTTTTTTTCTGTTCCTGAGATGAGCTGTCTCAAACAAACATTGTTTTGCACCTCTTCAAGTTTCAATCTGTTGACTTCAGCAGGGTTACGTATTTGTTAAACATGACCTGACTCTTCTTCAGGTTCATTTTCAATTGCTACCTTGATACTAGCGTCATTCCGCTGATTCTTATTTCGAGTTTGTCTGATGACTTTGAGAGGATCAAAATGTCCTCCTGCACAAACCGCAGGTTGATTTAACAAGTGATTCATCTTGAAAACCTCTTCTAAGGCTGATGAAAGTTGCTCCACTTCTAACACATCTCCGTGCGCCTTCAACTCGCTTGCGATATGTCGAAGCACGCAAGACGGTAGCCAGAGCTGATTCCTGGGGGAAGTTCGGTAAGGTGTGGAGTCGAATTTCCACACTGCAAACAAAGTATTCTGGCAGACCATTTGCCGGCGCTCTGAGGTGAAAAGAAGTACAGTCTAAGAGCCTTCAAGGACAGGTCTGGACATTCTCCTACCGAGTACAGGGACATTCTTTGGCGATGGGAATATACTGAGGAACTCCTTAACCCCAGGCAACCGCAGGAAGACTCACCTATTGGGCAACAGGGAACTGATATTAGTATTTCTGTAGCTGGCGTCGATGAAATGCGCCCTGAAATGCTCAAGGCAATCGGCGAACAATTCACGTGCTGGCTTACCCGTGTCTGTTTAACTACAGTCGCTACGGGAAGGCACCAGCAGACTGGAGAACGGAGGCTGTGGTATCTCTGTTGAAGAAGGGAGAACACAGGGAGTGCTCATATTATCGGGACATTACTTTATTGAGCCACCTGAGAAAAGTCGACGTGAAGGTTCTAGAAACAAGGTGCCGTGGAATAAGTGACTCTAAAATACATAAAGTTCCATTTGGCTTAAGGTATGACCAAATCACATCTGGCCAGATATTCATCCTA